CCATATCACCATATCACCTTCCGTACGGCAACCAGCAAGCCGCACAGAAGGGGTTGTATGCCGTTGCTGATGGAAGTCTCAAGTTTTGTGCTGTCCTTGGGTCTCATTTACGGCTCATATCGTCATGGAGGGTAGCTATGTTGCTGCTCAACTTTTGCGTTCTCCCACCAAAACTCTAAAACCATGAAATGATGTACCATTGATCGAGAACTCAGCGATAGGTAAGGCGATAGCATCTCCGTCACCCGTGCTGCAAGCGTATACGGTAGATCACGTGTGAATCATTAAACCTGGTTCATGTTCATGTTGTCATGCCACCAGTCTACGGTACCACCAGTTGGAAGGAGAAGCAACGTAAATTTCTTCGACGGTACTTATACAGAGCATGGTTGTGTACTTCTCTCCCATCTACTCTCTGTCAAGTGACAACGAGGCAAGCACGCAAGCCAACCCCAGAATCATCACAACGACGAACAGAGTGGCTCAAAAGTTCCAACAATATACGTAAACCGCGACCCTAGAAACTCAAGCACTTCCCCCCTGCGCGCTTGGTGATGTGATGTGAGAGCCTGGTCCGGTGAGAACCCGGCGTGCTCCGTCCCGGCGTTGTGTAGATGCGAGGTCGGTGACCTAACGACTACAGTATGACATGCACGACTATGAGTATCCCCCTCCCCCCCCGCGTGTGCTGCTGCCGTTTTAGACTAGAAAAGCCCAGGTCGTAGGACCGGGGGTGGACAACGAGGCCGTTGCTGCCGCCCAAAGAGAGGTGGCTAGGCTAGAAGCCCGGCAAGTCGCCGCGAACCTCAAGAAGAACAAGCTCTTCGACACCTTCAGGTAGGCGTCCATCCGTGTGGTTACCGTAAGATCACGGGTTATGTGGTTTCCGTATTATCACGGGTCATCGCACACCCCGTTCCGTACACCAATACTATTGGTAGCTCGATTGCTCCGCATCCAACAGCAAGGTGTTCCGACCCCGAAAAAAACACATGGTGTTGGCCGCCGTGAGCACTCGGTCGCGCTGCTGCTCCAAGTCTGCAGCTTCGGTGGTCCCCACATATCGGGCTTTCGGGGAGAACGTACGGTTGTACATACATGTGCATACCGGTCGGGTTTTTTGTACCACCTTGGTTTTGGCTCGATTGAAAGTCTCAATTAGAAGGTTTGACTGGGCGGCGCGGCACCACTCCCGCTTTTAGCCCTAATGCTATCTATTTAAACAAAATAAATGGTGGCCAGCGTTGCGGGATACATTGCAGGCTTGTTTTTATCCTTTGCGTAGGCCGGCGTTTGTCTTTGCCCCCCCCCCCCGATCATTCTAGGCCCCGTGCCTGCAACCAACCCACCTCACGCCGTTTGGTTCGCTAAAACATGGGGCTCGCTGCGAATTTTGATGAACGAACGGACCGCCTTGAGTGATGAACCGAACGGACCGCCTTAGATGATGAACCGAACGGACCGCCGTAGATGATGAACCGAACGGACCGCCTTAGATGATGAACCGAACGGACCGTCAAATGATGAACCGAACGAACCGTGAATGATGAACGGACGGACTGTGAGTCATGGACGAACCGACCTTTTGAATAATGGACGAACGGGCCGTAATGACGAACGAATGGACCGCCTTGAGTGATGAACCGAACGGACCGTCAAATGATGAACGAACGGACCCTGAGTGACGAAAGAACGACCCGCCTTGGATGATGAACGAACGAACTAACGAAAGCACAGTGGCCTGGACAAGATGGTGAAGGATC